TTTGTTTCAAGTTACGTGAAAGAATCGTGGTTTTTCATGGCATAGACATTTGGACAGCCAGCCATGTTAATCTGTAGTATTGTGCAGCAAAAACAGTAAATTGTTGTGCAGCCTCAGTAGATGAACATTTAATGGTGTGCCTATCTGTTCAACAATAACAGTAATAAATCTGTCAACAAGTCAGTTTTGTCTTATGGCAAATCTCACCAGGGCTCCCTATCTAGGAAGGACTTGGAAATGGTTGACCAGTTCCTTTTTCCAGTGGTTCTGCAGGAGTTGCAGCTTGCTGAAGTTTGACTTTTTTTTCCAGATAAACAATGGTGAACTGACTAAGTGAACTATCAAGCCTATGTATCTATCTACTGAGCTTATGCTCCATGCATTTGAAGGATGTGCTAAAGTTAATAAAAGCTTATCTCAAATAGAAGTTGTTAATCCTTAAATTATCCCAGGACATAATATTGATGGAGATTACAGAGCATAATGTGACTATGGATGCAGTGGTCTGCACAATCTCCTATCTGCAGTTTATGCAGACTGGCGAGCAGCCTGTTCAAAGCAATTGAGCTTTCCATTTGTTTGAAACATAATGAATAATCCCCATAGAGTGATGATGGGAACATAACTGGTGAGTGAACCACTTGTGAACATAACTCACAAGTGCTGAGAGGCCCCACAACCAATCTGGAAGTGCCAATTTTGTAATACAAGACTTACCTGGACCATCTGGAAGTCACTTAATAGTCATCAAAGCAAAATATGAAAATCAAGGAATAATCAAGTAAAATGGGCTACTATGATCCAGAACAAATTTTCTGTGACTGTGGAGAAATGCAGTCAATACGGCACTTATGTGCGCTCAGTTTATACCCCACCAAAAGAAGATCTAGAAAATGGCTGAGATAATGCTATTGAAGTAATCTGCTTTTCGTCAAAAACAGTCTATTTATCTTAATATTTTGTTTTTGGTTTTGCCTGTGTTTCATGGTGCTGTCCATGGTTTCGGGTTGTGCAGTGCTCTGATGTGAGTGGAGAGGAGAAAGCAACTGAGTATGAAGCAAACTGTTATGCTTGTTGGGCTTTGTTCATGTAGACAATTGTGTATCTTTGGAAATAAACAGTTTGTTATTTAAAATGGTGTAAAGAGCAATGAAGTACTTGTGTTGGGGTGTCGGGCTTGCAGACCCAGGGGCTGGAAATTCAAACTCCCACCATGCTTTCCAGAAGAGGGTCTAGCCAAGATCATAGAGTATGTGCGGCCAATGCCATTGTTTGCTTTGCCATATCTTCAGCCTTGGTCAAGCTGCACGGTGTTCAAGTGTTACCAGAAGGAGAGACTGGTAAACCACTTATAAGTATTTAATATCTAGCAGAGCCTGACAAGGATTATCATTAAGTCAAAACTGGCTGACAGCACATATGTATTGTTATGTTTTAATATAGAAGTGTTTTTTAATATTGTTTTCATTTGATACATGATTGGGACACCAGTGTGCTGCCCACTTGCTGCTAGTGAGACACAGTAAACAGTGGAACTTTAAAAATTGGTAAAGTTGCGTCCCAAGAAGTTGTTAGAGAGGGAAAGCAAAGTTGGGTTAGGCAAACACAATAATAAATAACACAACCCTCAAACCATCAATACGTTTTTCAAACAAAAGTGCATACTGTATGCCTGGGACCATGCCTGTGTCTATCTCCTGTCAATCACACACATTCTTTTATTAGTTTAAGATAGAAAATAAACAACGAGACTGACAGCTTTGTGTCCTTTGGCATTTTTGTGTCACCACCACAAAAGGAAGAGGGTATTATGTCATCAGTCAAGTCTGTCAGGTCTGGTTTAGTCTGCTGTTTGTCTTTAAATATTGTTTCCCTTACTTTTCCCCCCTCCAAGCTGATCCTCACGCTTCATATTGATTATATATTGTTGATTCTCCAAAATTCCATTTTTCCAGTTGTATCTGGCATATAGTCATCTTCTCCCATCAATGCAACTCAAAGTGTACTTTTCTGTGTTTAATAAAAAATAGTCAGTCAGAACCCTTATTGACATACACACAAAATATCATATATATAGGATAACAACAAACTGTTAATCAACTAAATCTACAAATTCAGTCTCAGTATATGGCTCCTTTGTGTAGGTAACATTAATGGAAGTTGTCTCAATGTTATTTTTTAAACTGTAGGTTTGCTGCATATTTTTAGGTTTCTCTGAAATCAGGGAAAAAGATATCTCTGGATTTTCTAGTAGATCTCTAGGTGATTTGCTATAGATCAGCAACTACTGACTCTCAGTCTTTTAACAATGGCAGTTAAAAGAAAAGATCCCCCTCCCTCCATATTGCTGGGATAAAGAAAACTTGGGATAACTGGGGGTGGGTTTTTATGTGAAAGACATGTGAGATATATGTAGTTCTGCAATTCAGGTAACAAATTTTGGGGCTCAGAAAACAAAGATTTATCTACCTTGAAATATGCCCATATTTGCTTTTAAGATATATGCTACCTACAGGATAATCATGCAATTGCTAAAGCTGTAATATTTCAGTATTATGGCCCTTCCCTTATATTATGGGTCATTTTAAACTGCTATGGGGAAGGTGATTTAAACCACAGAAGGGATGGAAAGGAGCTACCTTTCGTGTGGAAACTACGTGAAGAATCTCTATCCTACATCCATGTGGATTCATGGCTCTGCCCACTATGGTTTGAGTCTGAAATAATGTTGCTACTTTCATCAAATGTGAATAATTAGTTTGAATGAAAATACAGTACTCTGAAGTCTGAAAAATTGTGGGGGCAGCAAAATGAGCTTTGGTGAATTAGCCTCCAGTTCATTGGATCTATTTTTCATAGGTGAAACTTTTCAGTAAATAATAAACATGCAGAATAGTGAACTTAATCATGTGTTTACCACACTTAGTGGGAAACCATTCTTTATGGGAGAAGAACTATCCCTCTCATAGAAATACCCATGAGGTGTACCCCTTCCTGACACATTCTGCACAGAGAGCTTTTGCACGCTCTAATCCGGTAAAGTCCTATGTTAATATGACTATAATTATAAATTTCAAGAGAGCAAGGTATAAATACAACTCACTTGTAATTAAATTCTGAATTTTCAGTTCTACATGAAACTGTCACTCACTAAAACTTTGTCCTTCTGAACCATGAGATATTCCTTGAAAGTAATTTGCCTGAATCTGTTTATTTTTGTTTTTCTATGTATATCTTTGAATGCATATTGTACATACATCTGTGCAATCCCTAGTGTCTGAACACCTGTCATTGCAGGAAGAAATGGGAGGAGGATAGGGTCGTTTTGATAGAGAGCAGCCGTACTATGTTGTATGTGACATCGTAGGAGGTTGTGGTTTTTTGCCAAATATGGTATAAGAAAACAATGTGGAAGTTCCTCTTCCCTACAGCTTCACACTTCTTTTGTTGAATGGATACTGTGAACACCACTTTACAATTAGGTAATTGTGCATAGGGCATATGAAGGAAAATAGACATGACCTTTATTAGCTACATAATTACAGTATGTATTTCTTGGTTTTATGACACCTGGGCAGCACCATACAGACATTTAAAAATATGGCAATAGCAACAGCAAAGGATGGATCTGAACTAGTGTTTCTGTTTTTGTTCTAGATTTTAGTTTCAAGATTCTTATTATATATTATGTCTATGTACATAAGCTGACTCCACCTAGTTGTTGATCACAGACAGAAGCCAACAGATCTGAGAAGTTAATAAAGAAATGTCAGCTGCAGAGTCTTTTTTGTTGTTGTTTTTGACATGGTTTTACAGCTGACAGACGTGTTCAAACATTAAAAGAAAACCTAATAGTTTTTATTTCATCTTTCTATGAGACATGATCTATTGTGCTTTTATAAGGGAGGAACAGAAACCATAATTACAGAATATATATTAGTTCTAAGCACTGTGTGGAGCAGAATAAGCTCCAAAAAGCAATATCAATAATAAAATAGGAAAACAAATTTGTATAAACATTCTTAATAATTTGCAATTTAGCTTTCATCCTTTCTTAGCTCAACAAACAGGGATCTGACCTAAGGATATCCATGTTTCTACCAATGTTCCTGGTGCCTGAAACAAGCCAGGTTTCAAACACACAAAAACAAGATAAACAGGCTGGTTCTTGTTTCAAGATATGTAAGCCTGCTTAGATCAAGCATAATTTTTGTGTGTGTGTGCATCAGAATTTAACACTGTAGATCAGGACTGCAAGTATGGCCAAGTTGTAAATTAGACAAATAAACAAAGACTGAATTAGTGTTAATTAATATAGCACTTTTCAAAATTTTGAAAGATTGCAGAAGAAGTGCATGATCTATTCTCAATCAGGACTCACAACAATGAGCTCAAGTTATAGGATGCCAGATTTTGGTTGAATATCAGGGAAAGCTTCCTAACTGTTAGAGCAGTATGGTAATGGAACCAATTATCTGAGGAGATGGTAAGTTCTACAAAACTGGACACATACAAGAGAAAATTAGACAACCGATTCCTACACTGAGCAGAGGGCTGGATTCAATGGCCCTATAGCTCCCTTCCAATTCCATTGTTTTATGATTTTGCAAATACCAGAAATAATTAAGGGAAGCAAGCATCTTAGCTCATATTAAAAATGAAAGGAGTACATGAGTCAGAGTTATATAATCTGTTGCTGTGGTATATTATTCAATTAGCATTGTGCATATCACCCAGTAGAAGGTTATTTTGCAGTTTTTCTTCTTTGGCTGTATTTTTATAGTCTTTGCTTCATTTTACCTTCCTTCCTTTTGTCAGACATAGTCTTTGTAAAACTTCATGTGCCTAAATAGTGATCTCTTTCTTTCTAAATAAATACTAATTCTTCTTCCTCCCTAATATTAATTTATAACTAACTTATTTCTCATAATTTCAGCCTGTTATGTGATATACTGGGTTTGTTGAAGAAATGTCTTGACTGCTTATACTTTTTTTTACAGCTTTGAGGGACAATAGGATTGAGCTTCTTCGGGCTTCTTGGCACGAACTGACCATCAGAGTCACAGATGTCTCACTGTCAGATGAAGGGCAATACACCTGTTCCTTATTTACTATGCCTGTCAAGACTTCCAAGGCTTTCCTTACTGTTCTGGGTAAGTATAACTCATGGAGAATATCAGAGTGAGAACAGTTGTCAAAATGATTGCTGTAGCCTCTTAAGAGCTACAGTGCATAAATGAGAGTATATTTGTGTTTAACTGTAATGCACTGGGTTACAAGAACAAGCCTGCATACCCCCCTCCATCCATCTCATCTTCTGATGTGGCTGTGAGGGCAGCATAAATTATTCTGTCCACTCTAAATCAGCCATGGTTTAAAGAATATTATTTAGTCCTTGCTGCTCTTCATGAATATGGTTCTCTGGGTCAAAATAGAACAACCAGTGTTTGGAACATTTCCAAACACTGCCTCCTTTAACTGCTGAAATAACATGGAGAATTTGGTTGAAGCATGAGCTGTTATTGTAATGATAATCTGTGATTCCACATCCAAACTTGCTGTATCTGTTGATGATGCTCTATGGCAGTAGTTTTCAACCTTGGGTCTCCAGATGTTCATGGACTGCAATTCCCCGAAGCCTTCATCACTAACTATGCTGGCCAGGATTTCTGGGAGTTGTTGTCCAAGAACATATGAGGACTCAGTGTTGAAAACTACTGCTCTACGGCTATTATTCTCCATAGAAAATCACGTACGAAGTAGCAGTGTTGATTTAGATACTATCAGGTTACATGTGATCGCTCCTTAATCTAGTAGCCTTAGTGATGTTTGTTGTGAAACAAATTTGATACATTTTATAATGTGAGTAGTGAAAAGATCATTTTTGTTCCATGTGCTCATTTTCTTGTAACATATAGCATAAGACAGAAAGAAGGAAATTGGTGCCAAAAATCAATTCTGAAGAGTGTCTATTTTGCTTTATTTCACTGTATCTTTTTCCTCTGCAAGTCCACATTTCCATGGGAGTTGTATGACTTCTTCAATTTCTAAATAGATGGCTACAGTCTGTAATGCTTAGGGTACTACTACAAAGATAAGTTTGTTTTATTTTGTTTTAAAATATTTGGAAAACATTGGGACATCAAAACTCATGTTTGCAAAAATTGCAAAGGACAGACAAGAAGCCTGATAAAAAGTAACAGAACTAGGGTCAGAACCCTGAATACAGCTTTTCAGTGACTATCGCATAGAGACAAAAATGAACTACTGCAACAAGCAGTGAAAAGAAATAGAAGAAAACAACAAAAGGGGGGAAATAAGAGATCTCTTTCAGAAGATTCAAGAAATTAAAGGGAAATTCAAGCCTAGATTAAGAATGCTGAATGAAGTACACTATCTGACCAGGAAAAAAATAAAGAAAAGGTGGAAACAGAATACTGAAGACCTATACAAAAAGGATAAAAGGATGGCAGATTCTTTTGAAGAAGCAGCCTGTGATGAAGAAAGTGAAGGTAAAGAAAAGGTGGAAACAGAATACTGAAGGTATAAAAGGGATAAAAGGATGGCAGATTCTTTTGAAAAAGCAGCCTGTGATGAAGAAAGTGAAGATAAAGCTACTCTGAAAGCACTGGGAAGAAATAAATTACCTTCACTGCCGTATTATTTTGCCTATTTGTCTATATCACATCTATTATAGTATAATTTTATTTGTCGTCATATCGTAATTGGTTTGATATGTAAATTGCCCATGATGGTGCTTTGCACTAATGGGGTGGTGTCTGTCTGTCTGTCTGCCTGTCTGTCTATCTATCTATCTGGAGTGAGAAATGGCTGATATTCAAGATGGATTCTGAAAAGTAAGAGGCACTCAAGATTATATTGCAAATTTCTCCTGGCTACTAGAGAGCACCAAATAATTTCAGAAGATCAGTATATGCTTTATATACTGCAGCGAAGCCTTTGACTGTGTAGCTCATGAAAAACTATGACTTGTTCTGAACTAAATGGGTGTTCCTCAGCACTTGATTATCTTGATGCATAACTTGTATTGTAGACAAGAAGCCACCATTAAGACAAACTGTGGAGAGACAGAACAGTTTCCTATTGGCAAAGGTGTCAGTAAAGGTGCATTTTGTCCCCATATTTGTTCAGTCTTTATGCAGAACATATGCAGAAGCCAGACTGGATTCAGATGAAGGAGGAGTTAAAACTGTTGGAACAAAGATCAGTAATTAAAGATATTTAAGATGACACCATCTTCCTGGCAGAAAGCAGCAATGTCTCTGAAGGCAAAAATGATGAAACTGGGGGTGGTGTACTATGGGCACATCATGAGAAGGCAGGGTTCTCTGGGAAAAGCAATAATAGTGGGAAAGGCTGAAGACAGCAGGAAAAGAAGAAGACCAAATATGAGATGGACTGATTCCAGAAAGGAAGCCACAGACTTGAGTTTACAAGAGTGAGCCAGGCAGTTGAGGAGAGGACATTCTGGAGATTGCTCATTTATAGAATCGGTGTTAAGTCAGAGGGGATTTGATGGCACATAGCAACAACATCAATGATATATTCATTCATTTCTTTCTTTCTTTCTTTCTTTCTTTTGACTGAGAATCACGTGTGCCTATCATGTTATTAAAGATGATGATATAATCCAGTAAAGGCAGTCTGCACTTTCTTTCTTTCTTTCTTTCTTTCAGTCTGCATGTGATGCCATGATTCAGTACATAGGCAGCCCTTCTAGATTCTACTCTGTGCTGTCTCTTTCTTTTCTCTCAGTTTTGTATGTATATGTGTTCATGTGTGTGTAAATGAGTAAGAGTCAGACAGAGAGAAAGACAGAGAGAGATGGCATGCTGCTGTTGAACTGCAGGGGAACCATTGGACTGATGGCATCTATGGAGAATGGAAGGACTGATTACAGGTACCTTTCCACCTCTAATATGCCAGTGCTGGAAAAGGTGACAGCTCCAACCATCTGTTCTCAGGAGGGGAAGGTCTTTATGCATAGCAATTTTATATAGACTGTCATTGTGCATAAGGATTACTTGATCTGAGTTTTTGCCCCTAAGTTGGGCACATTTTCTTTCCCTTTTCTTCTTTGTCTCTTTATTTCCTAGTTTTTCTTTTCTTTTCTTTTTTCTTTTTGCTCTTTGTATATAGTAAGGTGAGAGTTGAATTTAATAAGGCTGATGTAAAATGTTCTGTGTGCCAGTAATATTAAACTTAATCCAGCCAGGGAATTGCTTTTGTGCCTAGGATATGAAATATGTGCCTCTGCTAGTTCCACTGAGACTATTTTACCAGTTTGACGTTAAAGGGGAGGGGAAACTATACTAGAACAGAGTATTCCAGGATAAAGACAAATGCGGGTCAGTTTTTAATCTAAAGAAGCATGTCTAAAGAAAATAAAAAGCAGGTAGACTTCAAGTTCAAAGTATAATATACTCTCAGTATTGTCTTTTTTTCTTGAGTAATAATATTGCAGTGTTTAAAAAGGCATTTTTAAACTGCATTTTTACACTTTTTACATTCCTTTTGAAATCCTCCTCCTGCAATACATTTGTGTCATCTTTATAATCAGCTAGAAATTTTCTGTACATCAATCACCTTTCTTTCTTTTGAATTATTGCATTTTAATATTAGCGGTGTAGTATTAAGGATATTATAATATATCAGTTATCTTGGAATTAATGCATTACAAAAACTACTATTCCTCTCATGTTGATCAATGCTCAAAGATAATCACATACCTATGATTTTAGAACAAGGTAAAGGAGTTCATGGATACAGCAAGACACAAGTGAAAATGTGTCCCTGTCCTTTGTCCAGTGATAAAAGTCTATGAATCACAAAAACACCATCCTGATAATTGTGTAACTAATTTGATTTATAAGTGAAGTTTTTTGTTTTTTTTAAATGGAGCTTGAATTCCTTTCTGCCTTGGATAATTTCTGTCACATATTGCAGTGGTAACCAGTATATGCTGTTTATTTTTGTGGAACTTCCTTAAATGTGATTAGGGTTATGAGTTAAGTATTTGAATGTTCATTTAAAATTTCCCTACAGTTTTATGGAAAATCACTGGGGACTTCGGCCCGTCCGTAACCGAGCCCATGTGTTATGGCTTTTGTGTCTGAAATAAGTACCTCTAACATGGGTGAATTTTAGATACAGAGGCCCAGCTGAGATAGCGAGAGCATTATTTGCTTCCAAGATCTGGCCTGTGTGTTGACCCACTATCTCTAGTGAGCTCAGTTTGGCAGCATGTGCCTTATGAACTATCTGATTTCACTTCTACTGCCTTGTCATCACCTCTCTCCTTACCAGTGAGTCTTGTTCTGTTTATTTTGGCTTTTCACAGTTACTGTTTTTCTTTTGCTGTATGCTGTTTTTGTTTATAATCTCACACGTTTCCTTCACACTTGTCTTCACCATGTAAACCCTTCATTCACTTATCTTGTATCTCATGGCATTGTTTTGTCATTCCTCCTTTTGCACACTAACCACTTCATCTTTCAATAAGCAAAGATTTGCAAAATTGTTGTCCAGTTTCTAAAAGGGGAAGAAGATGGGGGAAATTAGTGCGGTATAATTATTAGTATGTACTGTATATTTTGTTAAAAACTCCAGATTCAATCTCCTGTGATTTTGTTCTCAGTAATGTATTTTACCAAGAAAGGTACTTGATATACGTGATTCTTGCTTTCTAGCATCATTTTCTTCAAACCTGGAATTCAGCAATTGGTTCCTAAATGAAATGAAAAAGAAGCTTGTTCCATAGATGTATGCACAAGGCACACCACAAACCAAAAAAAAGGAAGAAAGAAAGAAAGAAAG